GGGTGTAGGGCCCTAAACCCCAAACCCCTTAAACCCTAAACCCTAAATCCTAAATCCCCTAACCCCTAAGCCCCTAAACCCTGGTAGGGCCCAAACCCTTCACAACATCCCTGCACCCAACTCCCAGCAAACCGAGGCCCCGAAGCGGGGCAAGCCCTGCAGCCATGAAACAAAAAAACACCTCATCCAGAAGGTGGCTAGGGTTTATAGGGTTTAGGATTTTGGGTTTATAAGGTTTAGGGTTTAGGGTTTATTTAGGGTTCAGGGTTTAGGGTTCAGGGTCCCCAAACCCTAATAACCCTAAACCCCTAACCCGAAGCCCTTAACCCCTAAATCCCTAAACTCCCTTACCCTAAACCCCTAAACCCCTAAACCCTTGAACCCCTAAACCCCTAACCGCTAAACCCTATAGATCCCTTAAAAGAAACCGAACCCTTAAAGGAACCCATGAACCCTAAACCCCTAAACTGTGACCCCCCGGGTTCAGGCGCCCCGACCCCCTGGTAGACGTATTCCCAGGTCGGCAGCTCTTCAGCCTCCATCATCAGCTCCAATGACTTCCTTAGGGTTTTTTTTTGTTTTTTGAGCTCCTTTTTCCGCCTGCAAATCCAAGGGTTTAGGGTTTAGGGTTTGGGGGGGGGTGTGTGTGTGTGTTAGGGTTTGGGGTTGTCGGGTGAAGTTTTTGGGGCTTGGGGTTTCGGGTTTGGGGGTTATTAGGTTTAGGAATTAAGGGTTTTCTTTGGGTTTAAGGGGCTTAAATATGCTCATTGCTGTTTACTGTTGCTCTTGGGGCGAATCCGTTGCGATGTAGACTCTGTTTTCTCTTAGGTTCGACGGGGTGCGTAGATTGTACTTGTGTCCTGCTTTGTTGTGTGTAATTTTGGTTGCTGCTGCTGCTGCTGCTGCTGTTGTTTCGCTAAGCGAGGAAAAGTTTCACACCAACCGGAGACGTCTCCTGCTGCGAGAATGAAATGTTGTTGTTGTTGTTGTTGCTGCTGCTGCTGCTGCTGCTTTGCTGTTCTTGCTTTGGGGCTGGAGGTTAGGGGTGTGGCTTTCAGGGCTGTTGGGAAGTCTCTCTTCGAATGCACGCAAAGCTTTCGACGCAGCATCGGCACTGTCACCTTCGTGTTCATCTTTGTTTTCATCTTGTTTGTCATCACTGTATTCCGTCAAGAAATCGTCAGCACCAGCCTTTACACCTTATGATTGCGAACCTCGCCAGCTGTCGCAAGGTCTGGCTGCTTAAATTTCGTACGATGTAGGAAAGCTGTTGTCCTCCACACCTTGTCCGAAGTATCCATATGCTAGAAAGTAGGGGCTTCTATCCTAGGAATAACCCTAAACCCTAAACCCTAAACCCTAAATCCTAAACCGTAATTAGACCCTTTGCGCTCGTACTGTTGGCTCTTGTTGCTTCTGATGCTGTCGACTGCCGCGGCCGACTCCCCATTCTCGCGCAGTCTCGATCGCCGCAAGGTTTTACCATCATCACACCAATCAAAAACAAGCAAAGACGCAACACTTAGGATATGCATATCCCGGTCCCTAGGATATGCATATCCCGGTCCCATCAAAAATTCACCCATAATCAAGGCCTATAAGTTAGGGACCCCTAACCAAACAAACACACAAACACACACACACACACCCCTGTCATCCTCTGTTTCATTACCATCACCCTCATCTCCTGGTTCGTCTTCTGCGGACAGGGTAAGCTCTCCACTGTTAGGGCTTAGGGGGTTTAGGGTTTAGGGTTTAGGGGTTTAGGGTTTAGGGTGCACTCTCCGGGGAGTCTAGGACGTCAGTACTTAGACAAGGTTTCCGGTACAGTTTAAGCGACAATGAGAGATGTGCAATACTGTTGATGATATAAATCCTGCATTACCTTAAGAACCCTAAACTATGGGAATTATTGTATATTCCTTATTATGGGTAATGCAGGATTTGAATCATCAACCGTAGCAAGGAGCCCTCAGGAAGAATACTGGTAGTTCTCTAAATCATCGTGAACCCTAAAAAGTTGGAAACCGGATTAAGGACAATTAGTGCTGGGATTCCCTATACATTACTCTTAAGGATTGAGGCTATTGGGTTTCCAACTTTTGGGCTTCTACTGTAGGGTCCCTTTTCAGGTCCTTTTTGCAAGGATTGGAGACTTCAAAAGGGACCCTGATTTGTAGAACTACCCATACCTGGACCCTTAAGAACCTCCCTTTTTAGGGCTCCTTATTATGATTTCCTTACATAAGTCCTTAAAATGGTAGGTTCTTTGGGGGTCTAGGCATTGCTTATCTTTACCTCCCCCAGATTCGGATTCCCGGCTCTTCCTAGAGTCCTAGAGCTTCAGCGGGGATTCCTGAGTAGCTTTCTGACCCAACACAAACACTTTATTGCATCCTGGCAAAAAAAACTGCACACTACGTAGAGAACACTATGTAGATCAAACCCTAAACCCTAAACCCTGTAGATGTGTTACACCTACAAAGCGCCCAAGATCAACCGCGGGCCCTCATCCTTAACCCAAGACAGCTGCATCCTTAACCGGAGACGCTGAACAGCCCTCTCTGCATCCTAACCCCCCTAAAACCCCCATATCCTAAATCCTACATCCTGAACCCTATATCTGACCCGAAACTCCGCATCCTCAACCCTTGACCCTAAAATCGTATACGCTAAATCCTACATCCTAAACCCTAAACCCTATATCCTGTGACCACAAAGCAGCTAATGTAGGGGATTTGATACTTGGAATAGGGATTTGGGGCCCCTTATACTGTACTTATATTAACTTATAATATGGAACCCACCAAACTAGTCTTGGTACTTATTTAGGCTCCTACATGAACCACAGAGCAGCTCACCTAAACCCTAAGCCCTAAACCCTATAAACCCTATAAACCCTATAAGCCCTATAAACCCTATAAGCCCTATAAACCCTAAAACCCCTATAAACACTATAAGCCCCCTAAACCCTAAACCTAAACCATAAACCCTAAACCCTAAACCCTATAAACGCTATAAGCCCTATAAACCCTAAGAACCCTATACACCCTATAAGCCCCCTAAACCCTAAACCTAAACCCTAAACCCTAAACCGTCTAGAGAACGACCCTTGGCTGAGGCCCTGGACGGCCCATCGGAATCGCTGTCATCGATCACGGTCCCTTGCATTCTGCCAGGGTTCAGGATTTAGAATTTAGGTTTTAGGGTTTGGGGTCTATAGGGTTTAGGGATATGGGACTAGGATTTAGGGTTTAGAGTTCTTTTTAAGGATACCTTATAGGACCTGCAATGGAGACTATGGGGAGGATCACATTAGCAAGAATAGGGTTCCGGCAAGGGTTTCCTCTAAAGAGTTCTATAAAAAGCGTATGAGAAGGGGTTTGTGGGCTTTGATATAAGGGCCTGGAAAATGTCAAGGGTGTTTTGGGGCATACCATATTCCGCTTATATTGGAGACTCCAAGGGGATACTACTAAATGTAGGGGCCGAAATGCCTAGAATAAGGTATTGGGCTCTTTAAACTATAATTCAGCAAAGCTTCACCAACAAGGGCTTAAGTAGTTATTCGGGCCCCAATAGTAACTATATATACAGAAATAGTAACCATACTAAGCATACAGGGCCCCCAGCCTAGCTGCCTTTCTCTTGGTTTAGGTGCTTAGGTTCTGGTTACCCGAAATGCTACGCCCTCAGCCCTGAACAGTTCGTTTCTAGGGGTTTTTTGGGTGGTTTATAGGGTTTTCAGGGGTTCAGGCTGAGAGCGCTACCAACGACTACTTCCAAACCCAACTGCTGGGAGATTGATTCGAAGAGAGCTTCTTGCAATTATAATTCGGGGTTTAGGGTTTAGGTCCTCATAGAGAGGGGCCTTGAAAAATGGAACAGGACTGAACAGGGCTCTGGGGTTGTACCACTACCTTAAGTCTACAGTGAACCCTGAGGAACAATGTAGGAAAATATTCATGCCCCTATATCGAATAACACTTGTACAAGTACCCTGAATCCAAATCATCCCTCGGAAGAGACCCACACGCGCACACAAACTTGTCCAGCTCACGAAGCAACTAAAGGTCAAACCAACAAACCCCCTAAACGGAATTATAATGGGGATCTAAACCCTAAACCCTAAATGGGATTATAATCGGGATCTAAACCCTAAACCCTAAACCCAAAAATGGATTATAGTGGGGATCTAAACCCTGAACCATAAATGGGATTATAATGGGGGTCCATGTATAGTAAGGCCCCCAAAGACAGGGGGCTTGGTATTCGATTATTCGGGCGTCTACATACCGTTTTTACATTACCCATAGGCTCCATAGTAGTTCCTTCTTGTGCTTTGTATTTAGGATCCTATAAGGTAACCCCCAAAAGGAACTATTATGGAGTCTATGGGTATACTACCCAAATACGACTAAAGCAGGCCTGCCTGACGATTAGGACACCTGAAGCCCCTCATAGAGCCCTTAAAAGGGCGGAGACCCGTTTAGAGGTAACCCCCTAAACCCTAAACCCTAAACCATCAAAGGGCCCTAAAGCCGCAAACCCTAAAACCCCCCCAAAACCCCACCGTAAGCAAACCCTGAACCCACATGAAGCCCAATACGCTTGAACCCTTTAGGGTTTAAGGTTTATAGGGGTTTAGGGTTTTAAGGTTCAGGGGTTCAAACGGTTCAAGGTGTAGGAGTTTAGGGTTTTGAGGTTTAGGGGTTTGGGGCTTAAGGTTTAGGGTTTCGGCCTTCTTGGAAAGACGAGAACAACGTTCAGACAGTCCGGCCTCGCGTCGCGAGCACAGCGCAAAGCACCACCAGGAGCAAAAGTGCTGGCCTGGCTGACCATCAAGATAACCATCGCCATCATCATCATCATCATCATTATCATCATCTTCTTCATCATCTTCATCATCTTCATCATCATCATCGGGCGCATGCACTCTCTCCGCCGTTGCAATCGATTTTTGACATTCCGTATGATGGCAAACTCCATCGACAAGGCATTTAGCCTGATGAAGTTAGCAGCACCTTTCCCCGGAGTGCTTTCAAGGCTGAAAGGGCAGCTCCCTGCACACGGGCATCAGGGTCGCCGGCGGCTTTCTGGAGCTGATGCAGAACTTCATCTGCCTCTTTGCCAAGGGAGCCAATTGCTTCAGCGGCATGGATACGGATTTCGGCCCTAGGGTCGTCCAACTCCTTCAGGAGCTCTGGCACGGCTTCGTCCAACTCTTGGCCCATGAGTGCCAATGCTCCAGCGGCATAATAGCGGACAGAAGAATCAGAGTCTTCCAATGCCTTCGCGAGCTCCGGCACAGCTTCAGTCAACTTTAACCCTTTTTCGCCTACTTTCCACACTGCCAGAGCAGCACGTTTGCGGACTTCTTCATCCGTGTCATGCAAATCCTTCCGGAGTTTCCGCAGCAAGGATTCCTTTGCTTCTTTGAAAAGGCCCATGCGCCCCAGTGCCACAGCTGCATGTGCTTGGACGGAAGCATCCGAATCGACCAAGGCCTCGAAAAGCTTCGGGACGGCTTCTTTTGCCTCCACGCCAAGGGACCGCAATGCTTCAGCGGCAGCTCTGCGCACATCCACCTCTGAGTCCTCCAATGCCTTTGCGAGATCTGGCACGGCGGCCTTTGCCTCTTTGCCCATAAACTTCAATGTATCTTCACAAGCAAAGACTCTGACCCATGTATCAGAATCGCCCAAAGCCTTCTGGATCTCAAGCAGCACAACTTCGCTTGCCTCTTTGCCGATTTCGCCCAATGCGAAGGCGGCGCAATGTTTGACATAATAATGAGGGTCACCCAGTAAAGCTGTTCCGAGTCTCGGTACGGCTTCGACTGCCTCCTTACCTTATTAGGGGCTGAATATCCTGGCTCCAAAAAAGAACTAGGGTTTTAACTATGGTAAAGTTATATGAACCCCGAAAGGCAAAGGTTACAGTTTTCGCTACTAAGTTGCCCATAGACCCCAGCATTTCAGCGGCAGATGCACGGACCTCAAAATGCCAGTCGTCCAATGCATGCACTAGCTCCGGCACAGCTTCTTTGGCCAATTTGGCGCTGGACCTCAATGCTCGAAGGCCACGTTCGCGGACCCAAGTGTCAGAGTGGTCCGTATTCTTCGCGAGCTTCCGCACGGCCTCTGTACCCATCTTTGCTAGCGCGTCAGCGGCAAAATAGCGAACATCTAGATCAGAGTCATACAGGGCCTTCATGAGCTTGGGCGCCTCGTCCTTTGCCTCTTCGCCCATATGCCCCAATGCACTAATGGCGCCTTTGCGGACTCCAGCATCAGAGTCGTCCAAAGCGTTCAGGAGCTGGGGTAGCACGACTTCCTTCGCTTCTTTGCCGATAGACCCCAATGCTTCAGCGAAAGGTCTAGCATAGTACCAGGTGGAATTTCGCATGGCCTGCAACAGCCCTGGCACGGCTTCTGATGCCTCTTTGCCAAGAAAGCCGAGTGCTTCAGCGGCACGGCCGCGGACGTCATCATCAGAGTCGTGCAAAGCCTTCAGGAGCTCCGGCAACATTCCTCTGGTCGCTTCTCCGCGAATAGAGCCCAATGCTTTAGCTGCTTGTCTTTGGACAGGGTGTTCATAAGAATGGTATTCAGAAGAGAAGTTCAAGCCCAGAGCCTGTAGCTTCGGCACAGCTAGTTCTGCCCCGCTGCCGTTGCCGATGAACCCGAAAACTTCAGCTGCAGCTTGGCGCACGTGCGGCTGAGAGTCATCTAAAGCCTTACTTCCCCAATAAGCCAGGGAAACAAAAGGTTACAAACTTTCAGACTTTAACTAAACTATAAGAGCCCAACAACTATAGTTCAACTTTCAGCTTACTACTCAACTATAAGAGCCCCCTGTTAAAAGCTTACAAAGGACTTGATAAAATTGGAGGACTCGGCAGCCTTCAGGAGGCCTGGCAGCAGCTTCGCCGCACCTTTTCTGCATGCATCCTTGAGGTCTCTCGGAAGGAAATCCTTTAGAGACCTGGGAAAGGCGAAGACTTTTGAGGCCTGCGCCGTTTCAAGAGAGTTCCAAAGGCAGAGCTCTAAGGGTATGGAGGAGTCGAACATGTCCAGAATGTCCGGGAGGATGACGGGGAGATGCTTGATTTTCTTCGCCAGCTGGGGAAGCCTCAAGCTTGTCATTTCCGGCGTGTACTCAGGCGGAAGCTGACGTGCTACCGTCTGGAAGGTATCGAAGTCGATCTGGCCTCTGTCACGGCAGCTCTTATATCCTTCCACGGTGGAGAACTTCATGCCGCACTCCGGCTCCAGCTGCTCCCCTGGCTTCAGAAACTCAGTCGCCTTGCTGTCCAGAAGCTGGCGTCCCGATTCTGTGAGATTCATGGATGACTGCTGCCAGGTCAAAACGTCTACACACGAGAAGGTCTTCACCTTGCGCCAGTCATCTAAAAGCCCATTACTTTCAATTTTGTTTCGAATAACAGGCATGAGGTGGCGGCACTTGACGACAGGGTGTTCGTTGAGCACCCGCAGGCCCTCAGTGGGCGGATACCTAGCGAGCGTGGGGAGCTCGGCGCGGAAGAAGATGCTCTCCCGCAAAGTTCCATGGCCGCTCAAGGGTTTGTTCACCAGAAAGCGCACCAAAGAATCTCCACTTCGCCAGACGACGGCATCTGAAGCTGCTTGCCAGATTGGCTCCTGCTCAGGCCACTCGCATCCTTGCAAGAGCTGTTCATCAGAGTCCTTGCTCCTGATCCTCTCCAGAATGCTGCCAAATGGTGTCTGGATAGAGTCATTGTCACCGGATTCCAACCTCAAATCAATGGGGAATCTGAACTGAGATGCAGGCATGGCATTACTACGTAGTACTTAGCCGCTCAATTTACTGTAAATCATGCAGCGCAGTCTGAAGTGGTGCAAGACAGTTCCATCCGTCAGGCGACATGTACGCATTCAAGGACGCGCACCGCTTCTCCCGCGATGAAGCAGGAACCCCGCTCCACAGAAGCAAGGTGGAATTCTGCTCGTGGAAGGCCTTTTTCGTGAAGAGCAGTCCATGTGATGCGTCTCGCCTTCCCCATCTCAGGGCATGCATGACTCTGCGGGCCATAGTTGTGGCATTCACACCTCTGACGTGCGTGAGCCACTCGTATTCGCCGTTCTCCAAGCCCTCCTGTGCCTCTTGGCAAAATCGCAACAGCCTGGGTTGCAGTTTAAGGGCCCTTAACAACAATCACGGAGTAATACTTCTGTATTCTCTACTGGGTTCTTCTTAAGGAATCTAATTGAGGTATAAAGGTAGAAGGATGTTAGAAAAACCTAACTTAGCAAGTATCCCAAAGTGCCACATAGCAGCTCGTCTTCGAGCATTTGCAGCTTCTTCTCGCATGCAGAGTTTGTGGAATTGCTCCCCTTTAAGGGATCAGGGAGCTAGTAAGCATGTTATCGGTACATAAGCTCGAGTTATAGCTAAAGCTAGGTCTCATTATGACCCCACTTAATACGTCCCCTGACCCTTTCGCTAGCCCCATAAAGACCCTATAAAGGCCCTTATAGAAGCCTTGTAAAAGCCTTCTAGAAATCCCGCCCTCGGCCTTTTCAGCAGATGCTGGAGCGCCGAAGCGAAAGGCCACAACATGAAATTCACAAAGACAGAAAATGGAAAGGCTCCTCCCGAAGAGAGCCATGGCAGCAAGGATTTCAGGACCAATGTAGCGACTGTGTTGGCCCGAAAGCTTTGTGTGTGTGTGTATGTATATGTATATATAGGTAAATAAATAGATACATATATATATATACATATATATATATATAATTTCACATATTCCCTGAAAATCTCCAGCATAGAAAATGGATCCTCCTTCCTTCAACGAGGAAAGGTATTCTGCATACGAACATTGGTAGGTACTTAGGCACGGACAAATCTTGGCTCTGACAGCATGTACCTACCCCAGCAAAGAGTCGAATAGCTACACTTTTTGAACCGAAAGTACCATCTATCCTAAACCCTAAACCCCTAAACCCGAAAAGGTTCGGGTGCAAACAACGATGGATTTGGAGCTTGAAGGCTTGAATGCCGCGGCGAGGTACAGGCTCTGAGCCACAGGGCTTCTATTGGGTTTGTACTATTTTACACGGGTTTGGGGTTTCAGGCACTAGTTTACAAGGGTTGAGGCTTAGAGTACAATTTTAAAAAGGATTTAGGGGTTAGGGTACTGTTTTACAAGAGCTTCGTAGGGCTTTAGGAATAGGCCTGAATACATATAATTTAAACTGGATTTGGGGGTATAAGATGCTAATCATTGAGGGACTTTGATGCAGATGGTGCTTTCCACGGCAACAAAGACGAAGATGACGACGGTCATACGCTGGCCTTTTTGGTTTTGAGGCTGCAGAATCCTAACCTTTCGCATGTAAACCAATATCATCGCCAATAAACTTCCTGAATATGCATACGCTGTGGCTACGACCATACCGACCCATGTTCGTCATCGCCACAAGCAGCACCGGCAGAAGTGGCAACAGCAGCGGCAGCCGCAGCGCCATGACCATTCCATCGGCATCGTCATGGATCATCTTCATTGCCCTTATCGGCATGACCATGAACATCATCCCCATCACCATCATCACCAGCCGCATCATCATCCATCATCCGCAACATCACCATCATCATCACAACCACCATCATCATCACCATGAACATCATCATCACAATCACACCATCATCATGATCAGCACCATCATCGTCATGTCTTCATCAGCAGCAGCGACACAGACAAGCAGCCATACGTAGCACTTAAACGATGATCGCAATTATGCGCCATCGTCGTCAACTAGCCACCACTGCCACCGTCTGGTAATAGTACGGCAGAAGTAGCAGCAAGAGTAGCCGAAGCAGTAGTTCTAAGTTCTACCAGTTGCAATCGTATACCAAGAAGAAGTAGTAGTCGCCGCAGTAATGGTAGCAGTAGCCGTAGCAGTATCCTTCTAAACTTTAAACGCCAGCATGCAAACCCGACATCCTAATCCCTAAACCCTAAACCCTATGAAGCCCTGAGCCCTAAAAACCCTGCACCCTGAAGCCTACAACCCCAACCCCTGTGGCTAAGGCTTAGGGCACAGAGCCGCATGGCCCTTTACCCTAGGCCTGTTTTCTGCACTTGACTTTTACCTCTGGCCCGGGTTCTTTTTTTGGGGGGTTTAAGGTTAGGGTTTAGGGTTTAGGGTCTCTTGGGGGTTTAAGGTTAGGGTTTAGGGTCTCTTGGGGGTTTAAGGTTAGGGTTTAGGGTCTCTGGGGGGTGTAAGGTTAGGGTTTAGGGTCTCTTGGGGGTTTAAGGTTAGGGTTTAGGGTCTCTTGGGGGTTTACGGTTAGGGCTTAGGGTTTGGAGTTTAAGGTCTTTTTGGGGTTTAAGGTTCAGGGCCTTTATAAATAGGGATCCCCCTTTAAAGAAGGCAACGTAGTGGACCTAGCCTCTCGCTCTCAGAGGAAGATCTCCGAACAGGACAACCCCCTCTATGACCCCATAGCATCCTTGAAGGGCCCTGTAAAAAAACGACCCCTGCAAACTCCCCTAAACCCTAAACCCCTAAACCCCTAAACCCTAAAAACCCTAAACCCCTTTAAACCCTAAACCCCTAAACCCTAAACCCTAAACCCCTGAAAGGCCCTGTAAAAATTAAAAAGGCCCCTGCTGACTGCAGAGGCCCTAGCAGTGATCATTGTCGCCGCTTCAAAAACAGCCCTAAACCCTAAAATCTTTTTCCCTGCCAACACCCTCCAACTGCCGCTTACTAAGTAGAGCCTCAGGACCCTCTATTCAGGACCACCAGGCCCCTAAACCCTAAACCCCAAACCCCAAACCCTAAACCGACTAATTATTTCTGGACCACAAGGCCTTTGAACAAGGGCCATTCTGGAGGGGAGGGGGGCGAGGGGGCTATAGGCTTCAAGGTTTAGGGCTTCGAGTGTAGGGTTTAGATTCGTTTATGGTGCAAGGTTTAGGGTTTAGGAATTTAGGGTGTAGGGTTTAGGTTTCAGGGTTAAGGGTTTAGGGCTGGTGTAGGGTTTAGGGTGTAGGGTTCAGGGTTTAGGGTGCAGGGTTTAGGGTGTAGGGTTTAGGGTGTACGGCTTAGGGTGTAGGGAAGGTGTCCGACAGCCAAGAGCCCCGCTGCAAGGCGTAGAGCACCCAGTTGTTGGCATCCATGGCGTGCACCTGCTTTCAGTCAGTCTCAGGGACTTTGGCCTTTAAACCCTAAACCCTAAACCCTAAATAACCCTAAACCCTTTTAGTGCCTTTGTTAAGGGATGCTATGAGGGTTCTACTACAAGGGCTCTAGAGCCTGTTCAGCGTTAATGCTGTTCTTTGGCGTCTTTTTTCTGCAGCCAGCCAAACCCCGTTACATTTGTGAAAAAGGGAGCACTCCCAGCCAACAGCTACCTAAACCCTAACCTAAACTAATCCGCATCCGAATCCCAGCACCGGACCCGGACGGCATAGCAAGACTCATGCTTACGGGCTGAGTACTCTAGCCCAAAAAAGGTTAAGCTTTTCATTATAGCAGGATTATATAAGCCCCAAAAAGGTTAAAAGGTTACCTACTCAGCCCCTGAGCTTAACAATCAGAATGGCAATGCTGGTGTGGCAGCTTCACCAACAACCAGAGCGACTCCGCCTTAGCATGCTAGGGAAGGTGGTAAGACTGACAGTAACAACAACCATGAACGCGACACCAACGTGAAATACAAACCTTCCATAGCCATCGGACTGACCATAGAACTTTCATAAACCCTAGATTCTAAACCCTCGACCCTAAACGAACAAGCATGAAGTCCGGAGCCTTAAAATCCCAACCCCGAAACCCCATGCAAGCCCACGGCTCCAGTACCCCTGGCGGCTAGGCCGCACACCCCAACCCATGAACTCTAACACACCAAATCCTTATGGAACCCTTCCCAAGGAATAACACAAGCGAGCCCCCGAAAAAGCATCCCCCAACACATCCTCTGGTCTCCCATGCGACCCCTAAAACCTAAACCTTAAACCCAAAACCCCTAAACCCTAAACTTTAAACTAAACCCCTAAACCCTTAAACTTTAAACTAAACCCCTAAGCCCCCAAAAACTAAAACTTTAAATTCAAACCCCCCAAAACCCAAAATCCCCTGGCCTCCTTCGGAGGTGCCGTGGGGCCCGGAACGGCGGGTATCCGCGGACCCGGCTCGGCCTCGGAGATGTCTGAGTGGCCCTGAGGCCTCTCTGGTATATGGGACTTTCCGTTAAGGGCTTAGGGTTTATAAGGTTTATAGGGTTTAGGGTTTAGGGTTTGTAGCACGTTTCCTTGCTGGTCGGTGTCGCCTTCTTGGCGAAAACGTCGACCAGAAATCTCCGTGACCCTGTGACTGCCTAACCATCCGAACAAGCTTCTGCAGGGAATCCACTACAGACCTGCAGAGCGGTTGCTCGATGGATCGGCCAGCACTGAACCGATCTTGCAAGAAAGACACGGTGCTCGCACAACACGAAACGAAGCCCATGAAAGCTCTCAGTAGGTTATCACCGTACTTTGTAAACCGGCTATGCATATAGAGCCCTGGCAACCTTCCTTTGGCCAACGATTCCGGCCCCACCCCAAACCTTAAACCCTAAACCAGAAACCCGAAATACTCAAGCCTAAACCTGAAGCCCGAAACACAAAAAACTGAACCAAGATCCCCAACCATTGAATTGAGGGTCTCAGGTCACTTAGAAGGGTTCCTTAGAAAGGCAACTGCTCGAGGAAAAAGTGGGTGCTGAACGCTTCAAGTGTCGAGGTGAAAGAGGGTTTGGAGATCCAGGGATGTAAGGGTCCAGGAGCTCGGTCCCACGATGAGGATTTCGGGTTTAGGGGTTTAGGGTGTAGGGTTTAAGGGTTTAGGAGTTTAGGGTTTAGGGGTTTAGGGTGCGCCATGTGTGATATCACAATGATGTAAAATAACATAGAGGTCTGAAGAAGTAGTGCGAACATTGCCAGAAAATTGCGACATACATATTATAGGGTTTAGGGACCCAAACAGTCAAAATGCGTTTTTCAGCATTCTAGCGTGGAGGTTCGAGAAACTAATCCTTTTCGAATAACCTTCTTCTATAATCCTACTTTTCCTTGAAAACCTTCAAAAACCCTTCTGACCTCCTGAGGCAGGCGCATGCAAGCTGGGCTGCGTCGTCTCCGTTGTCGTGGCCGCGGTCCACGGCGGAGCTGGCAGCATTCCAGAGATTCCACCCCTTATGCCAGCAGTCGACGTTGAACCGCTGTTGTAGTGGGAGCATTAATGATTGTGATCTTAAAGTTGAAGCTGTATACAAGTACCTTGCAAAACCGTCTAAGAAAACC